CCTCACTGAGAATATTTACTGCTTTTGGAAAGACATATCAGGCCATTTATCAAATGCACAGATCTGTCCAGTACATTTATTTAAATGCACCAAAATATTAAAATCATGTTTTTGTACGGTCTCAAAATAAAGTTATGATTATACCTGAAGAAGACATTGTGGGTTGTCAGGTATTCTATGCTTACTCAACTCAAAAGGTCTTTGTGTGGTCGTACCTCTTGCTGAGGATTCTGAGGAAGGCACAGTCCATTGGGAATGCAGTCATGCCCTGTGGCTCTTCCCATGAAGGGAGAGATGGCCAGGGATGTCCCAGGCACTGTTTATTCCTGCTGGGTGGCAGGTTCCCCTGGCAGCAGGTTCCAGTTCTAGAAGGAGAAGGCAGAACATACATGTGTAAACATGGTTTGTTGTTGCATCAGTTTGACGTGTGCAGTGCTGGTAACATTTATTTCAGTAGCTGAGTGTGGGGCACACACAGTCCTGTCACTGCTTTGTGTTAAATGTACACTTGACTTCACTGACTCAACAGAAATTATAGATAGTGTTGCATGGTCCCTCTGACAGAGTCTGCTAATATCTTTAAATACCCTTCAAAATATTTAGTGACATAGGAAAGAAACTAACTGGGTGGGTTCACTATACCACTTTAATAGAAAAGTTTAATCTCCTGGGAGATGCTTTTCTTCATTCTGCTGTAGGAATGTGTCTCCTTTTTCATGCAGCAAAATCTTACAGGTCAAGTCACGTCCTGTAGGTCACAAAGGAGGCTTGCTGATATGACTGAGGCTCAGAACTTCTGTTGCCCAATAATATAGTACTGGGCAGCAAAATACTGTATTTTGTAATAGTATTTCAAAGAAATACTACAGTAACAAGAAAATTCCTTTCTAGAAGGATGGAATCAGCAGTGTTGAACAATTTAGTATTCACAGATCAAAACACGCTGGAATATATCCTTCAACAGAAAACATTGCAAGATGCAACAGAATTTTAAATTAATGTATAGACAGAATAGAAAACACAGTCATTACATTAATTTGAATTTTTTATATCAATATTTCAGTGTTCCTATTTGTACTACTGATTACAAGATGATCCCTAGCACCTTCTGACATAAATAGAAGGTATAACACAGACTTGAGGCTTATCCAGCCTTTATAATTACAGTTACTTACAAGATATGAAACGAATTGAACTATTAATAGTAGTCATAGAGGTTTTTTGCATGTTTTTATTCTAAACATGGCCAAGGTGTATGTTCAGCATTTGTTTTATTTCCAAGTGACACTCCTAGGTAAAGACACTGCATCTATTTGAAAATGTTTTTAAAAAAGCATGCAGCAGCAAGTATTCTGTGGAGTTCTGCAGTATTAAGGACCAGTGAAGGGAGCACTCCTTGACTACAAATTGTATCACCTTTATACAGAAGACTTAATGTGAACGGAGGGGAGATTTTTGTAGAAGTCTTTTGGAGGATCTGCTAGTCACAATTCTTTGTAAAGAATACTGTAATAGATTTGAGCATTAAAAATGATCTAATTTTCTATTTTTCCTATCTTACAATCTTATCTTGCATGTAATCTTTCAACAAGATCCCCATTTTTTTCTCTCAGTATATGCAATCATTCATATAATTTCTTCCATGAATAACTTGTTGATTGAACAGCTAATTCTTGCTAATTCTTGAACCTATTCTTGCATAGGTGGTAGGAAAGGTTAGATTCCTTCTGAATGTGTTCTCTGTAAATATATAAAAATACATATATCATATGACACTGCTTTAAAGAAAAAGATATGCTTAGACCATGCAATCCTGAGATTCAATTCAAGGATCAGGATCAAAACAAGTAACATGATATTCCAGTCCCTTTTACATTTAATAGGAATCACCTGGCATTTAGTTATCTTTGGGGTTTTTTTTTACACACTTTTATCACTGAAAAATAAGCATTATAAAATGAGAGTAAAGTATAAGGTTTGACATGTGTACTTAAATTTCTGAATTCAAATACTTGCTTCAAATTGTGTATTATAAGCATTTAAATAATTTTGGTATGAAACAGTATGTAACAAAAGTCTTTGGATCTGATATAGCCTCAGAGAAAGGACTGCAAAACTCACCTGTAAAACTGTCTCCTGCAGCTAATAGCACATTGGGAATAGGCTGTGAGTAAGGTTCAGTGTCAAACAATTTTTAAAAGATAATATTTTTTCTCTGTTTTCTTAAATATTAGCAAAGCACAGATTTCTATTAGCTCTTCTTAAAGATTTTAGTTTCTTTTAATTATAGGGCCAAGAGACATTAACAGGAACAAACTGCTGTAAAAGAACAGTAGCAAGTAGGTAACGTTTTAAGTAGAATTTTCAGAGTGGATGTATGTGCCAAGAAATGAGTAATATGAAAATATTTTGATTCTTTTACAAAATGGAAGAGCATTAACAGCATTTTAGTTTTTATTATACATAAAGTTTTTGATTACCAACAGTCTCATCGTAAACAAAAATAGAAGAAAGGACATGCAATTATTAAACAATCCGAATAAGAGACATTAATCTCATTTATGTATTGAATAAGTCCATTTTTAAGTCAAATTTTGAACACTGCCTCAACTGTACGTACACTATTTAAAATGTCATTCAGAACTTGGCTGATCCTTTGGAATAGTGTTTATTTATTTGCTATGTTATTTCACTTCCAGTGTGTTAGATCCAGTTTGTTACTGAATTAAGGCAGTATCAGTTCTGCTCCAGCCCATTCTGAGGGGTCCCTGTGCAGCTCCTGTGCTGTCACCTGTGGGGAGGTGACTCCAGAGCCAGGCTTTGAGCACAGGCAGCAGCTCTGGGCTGTGGCACAAGGAGGCTGCTCAGGAGAGCTCAGGTAAAGCCACCTAGTTCCACAGTGGGCTAGAGAAAGAGGTGGGAAAGGGAAGAGCTACAGCAAATGGAGAAGCAACTGCAAGAGAGAAACCACTACTCAGATGCTGTAAATAAGTCTATAGAATAAAGAATGGAATAAATATAGAATAATATATAAAATATAGAATAAAGCAGCAGAATGTGGCCAGAAGTAAAGGGGAAAGAAGGATTCATCACAGCCTGCAATGGAGCTTTTCATTGAATGCTTAGTTATAGAAGCAGAAGTGCATACAAAAATAAGCTTCATTAATAAATGGCCACTACAACATTTCTCAATTTAAAAAAATCAACTGTTTCAGACTTTGTTAATTTGTTGCCATTTATGGCTGCTTAAATATGTGTAAATAGTTTTATTTTTCCTTGATTTTTGAATGTACAGAATTTTGTTCCCATATTTAAATAATTAGTGCCAAGATTCTGACTAAAGTGGATCTTTATCATTGTGTTATCAGCAAGTGCAAATGTCAGTTATGAAGTCCATGGCTGACACAATTTCAGCTATAGCTGGAAGAAAACTATGTACATACACTTTTGCAACACAAGGAATCAATGAGTGTGAATAAAATCATTAAAAGAAACCACATATTTCACATATTTTATAATCAGACTTTCATCAATATACAACCTATTTTATACTTAAGAACCAAAAATAGAATCTGAAATGTTTGGAGATTATTAATTTATTCAGAGTTAGACTTAACAGGTGAGATTACACAGTGAATAATTGACTGAAAACCTGGAATTCTTAACCAGATTACTTTTTTGTTGACTACTGGGGTTTGGGTTGATTTTTGTTAAGGAAAAGCCACTTCAAAATTTTCCTTTTCCAATGTCAGATTGTATTTGTATATTCCTTTAAAAACAAAATCTCCAGTCTTGCTATGACTACTGTTTGAGGCTTTTGGAGATCTCAACTATGAGAACAGTGTAAATACCAAACAAGATTGCAGCAGGTCAATTTTGATTCAGAGGAAGCAATAAGACATTCCTATATGAAGCCAGGGAATCATGCTAGTCATTTTTGGAGTGCTGAACTAATCCATAACAAAATTATCCCATGACTGCAGTTGGCAATATGGAGAACTGAGGAGTGAGCCGACAAGATCCCCAGTCTGAATCAAACATGGACTTTGTGATATAATCTGGGCTCATACTCAAATAATCTAGATTTAGTATTTTGATAATTCATATAAAATCTTATTTTATGGATTTATTCTAACTTGTACCAGAATGTCACAATTTTATTATTTTAAGACTCTGAGTGTGTCTAGAATGAAAAAGGAAGCAAGTATCTTCTTCAAACATATCTGAAATGAAAACTCTAGAGTTCTGGTTCCAGTCTGAGCAGCAGGAGGTGAATGTTTCAGCAGGAGGTTCTGGATTCAAGGTCTAGGCCCAGATTTGCCCTCTGGCCAGTGACAGGGAGGTGCCAAATGCCCTGACCAGAACCCAGGTGAGGTCAGGTGGCATGTGCCAGCACTTCACCTGTCAGAGGCAGCAATACAGCTGCCACCTGATTCCAGAAAGTGTTTTGATCTGGAATAGTCAGCTCTGGTCTTAAACACCATATCTTTCTGTACCAGTTCTATTCCTAACTCATCCTTTCCAGATTATCTAGTTCATAAACAGAGAGTTCCAAGAAGTCAAAAGACCCACCCAAAACCAGAGGTGACTCCTCCTGCTAGAATGTAAAGACAGAGCCACAGCTGCAATTTCCTGATAACAGCCCTCACAAACATCCCGGAGGGGGCTGTGTGAGTGAAGAAATGGCACCAATTAGGCTGCTCAAGCCTGGATTTTCGTGTAAAGCAGGACCCGGCCGTGCCTGCAGTGTGGAGGGAGCGTCCCAAAGGCCACCTT